AGCGATGTTTTAGTCCTTCAAGGACAATTCGAGAAGGCCCTGAAAAAGCTCAATAAGGCCTTTGTAATTCAAAACGATATTCTGGGTCCTGAACACAGGATCACGAGGAACACTGTGGAGAAACAGAGTGATGTGAGGGAGAAACTTAGATCAAATCCCCGTTAACTGCATATTCTTACAACCAAAACTCGAGGTAAAACTCTTGGGTCTTGGCGAACAGACTGAAGCGTGTCAGTTAAACTTAGGCCAACTAGTTTCTCATCAGTGTTTCAGGAAAATTTTCTTGATCCATTGGTATAATGTATAAATCACCTCCTTTATCAACATTACGTACGATTTATTATAGTTTATTTTAACCCTATTTTGTATAGAGCGTTTCGGCGTTGGTGTCGTCGTATTAAAAATAGTAAGAGAATAGTTACTTTTTGGCTGTTGCACGTATGTTGACTGTGTTTTTATTTTATTCGTTGACTTCAACACACCTTTTTAGTTGCATGAGAAGAAAAAAGTTACTACAAGCTTAATGCTGGTTGAGATGTTAACTTAACGCGATATATCTAGTAAAGTGGGAATACAAGTTTCCAACCAAGTGGCGTTGAGGTTCGCCTTCACTCTATCTTACCTAAAGAGCTTTGGAAAATTGCCACTCTAGATGAACTCATTACCCTAGCAGCGCCATAGACCAAATGAAAAAGGCTTTATTTTGCTTTGTCTATCCCAAATAATTTGATGTAGCGATCCGCGCATGGAAAACCACCCTTTTTAACAAAGAAACCATCATCAATTTTTTACATTTCATATTATAGGCATTCGAAAGCAACTAAGCAATTCTCAGATCATATTAGGACAATTCGCCTCAGGTTCAGTAAATATAATTGAATAATCCCCCGACTTCGTCTCGGTGATTATTCAACAAGATAATTTATTAAATTTCGCCCTCTGCGAATAACTGTTTAAGATTTGATCGTGTATGAACGAGAAACAAAGCTAAAAACATTTGATCTTGCCGCCTCAAATATTTTACTTCTATTTCTGCCTGTCAATAAGGGCTGATCCCCACCTCTGTTCTTTTGAAAACCATGTGACCCTCCCTCAAAAAATTAATTTTTTCTTCCGCAAACCCCCGGCCACAAATAACGACTGGTTCCCAAATACAATCATATACGCATGTCAAGTGATCTGTTTTAACGAGCATACCGTTCGTATCAGTTTGAAGAAATATCAAAGACTTTTTTCATAATGATGCTACTCTGAAAAATGCCAAGTCCACGTGGATCATCCTCTAGTTAAAGGTTAGAGGAGCATATTTTAAGTCCAAAAGAAAAAAGTAAACATTGATCATGGTGTGCCCATTTTGTTCAAAAAAGGCCATTCGTAGTAATCGTGCAGTATCGCAAAGTACCTAACAAATGTATCGCCTCTTTACGAAAACAAACGAGAGGAAGTTCAATTTTTGACGTTTTATCTCTTCTGGTGCTCTTAAATACCTTGGAGAGGCAGTCAATGTACAATAACTGAAATTTAATTGTCATACAGGACGAGCTGATTCACACTCACCAAACCATGTCAATAGCTCTTCGAGGTCATAGAAGAACTAACGAGGTAGAAGATGAAATGAATCGAGTGGGAGAGGGTGTGAAAAAGGTCGATTTGGGAGAGGCTCTTCTAGAAAAACTGAAGATCCCGAAGAACGAGGGTAATGGGTTGAATATTCCCCAGGCAAGCTTCGAAACGCAGAGCTTTAGAAAGTATCTTGTGCCTACAACAGGCGAAAAGACATCATTCTGACATTAGATAAATCAGTTGAAAACAGACAATCAATCCTTT